CATTGAAGCCCACACCGACCCCAGGAAGAGATCACTCAAAGCTTCATGGTACATTTCAACAAACTTTACTTCAGCTGTAATGTTGACTGGAGCACAGGTGACCACCATGCTGGGTGTGAAAACACCAGTATCCACTCAGCCCACAGGGACAGTACCAATGCCACCAATTTTGTAGACATCCTGGAGGGGCAGACGCAAAGGTTTTTCAATTGGATGAGTTCGTGGCAGGATGCAATCCAGAGCTTCAAGCACTGTAGTTCCACTGGCTTTGCCATCTTTATGAGTGGCTTTCCATACCTTGAACCAGGGCATATTAGCACTTGGCTACAGCATGTTGTCACCATTCCAACCAGAAATTGACACAAGTACTACTGTGTCAGAGTTGTAGCCAATTTTCTTAATGTAGGTGCTGACTTAATGATTTCCTCATATCTCTTCTGGCTGTAAGGTGGCTCAGTGGAATCCATTCCATTTACAACAATTAGTTGTTTCACACCCAATGTGTAAGCCAGAAGGGCATGCTCACGGGTCTGCCCATTCTTGGAGATAACCTGCTTCAAATTCACCAACACCAGCAGCAACAAATCAGGACAGCACAGTCAGCCTGAGATGTGCCTGTAATCATGTTTTTGATGAAGTCTCTGTGCCCTGGGACATCAATGATGGTCACATAATACTTGCTGGTCTCAAATTTTCACAGGGAGGTGTCAATGGTGAAATCATACTCACGTTCACCTTTCATTTCATCCAACACCCAGGCATACTTGAAGGAGCCCTTTCCCAGGGCAGCAGCCTCCTTCTCACATTTTCCAATGGCTCTTTTGTAAATTCCACCACACTTGTAGATCAGATGACCAGTAGTGGTAGACTTGCCAGAATCTATGTGTCCAATGATGATGATGTTGATATGACTCTTTTCCTTGTGCATTTTGGGTTAGATTTAGCAGTGATTTTCCACACGCCTGTGTTCTAGTGGGAAACCCATTGCAGAAAAGTGATAACTCGTTTTTCTCAGCACTGAATAATATATTATTGTTGTAAGTAGGCCTTTAGTGATGTGCTGATGAAAAGTGGGAGGAGAGTTCAACATCCGCAAATCAATTAACATGATACAGAACATCAACAAAAATAAAAAATCATATGGTCATATCAATAGATGCAGAAAAATCATTTGACAAAATGTAGCAGCCATTTATGGTAAAAACTCTTAGCAAAGTGGGAATAGGAGGATCATATCTCAACATAATAAAGGCTATTAATGATAAACCCACAGCTAACATCATACTCAATGGGGAAAAGCTGAAACCATTCCCTTTAATATCAGGAACAAGACAAGCCTGTCCACTTTCTCCAATTTTATTCAACATAGACCTAGAGGGTCTAGCAACAGCAATCAAACAGGAAAAAGAAATAAAAGGCAATCACATTGGCAAGGAAGGAGTAAAATTTTCATTATAAGCAGATGACATGATACTATATATAGAGGACCCCAAAGTCTCTATCCAAAAGCTATTGGATCTAATAGACAAATTCAGCAAGGTAGCAGGATACAAAATCTATACTCAGAAATCAGTTGCATTTGTATATACCAATAATAAACTATCGGAAGGAGAAATTAAGAAAACAAACCCGTTTACAATCACTTCAAGAACTATAAAATACTTAGGAATAAATTTAACCAAAGAAGTAAAAGACCTGT